CCAAGTTTTCCCCGGCGGCAAGTGCAAGTCAAGAGGAGGACACGGTCCGGTCCGGGCGTCCCAGCCACCCAGCGGCCGGGACAGGAGCCCCCACTCCGGCCCCGGGCATTCGTCGCTGGCCCGCGGGATCAAGTCGACTTACGAAAGGCAGCGGGGCAGCCCCGAACGCGGGGTCCTCGCGGCTGCAGAGGCCGCTCCGGCGGGAGCCGCGAGCTGCGCTCCGGGCTCCCGGCCCCTCTGCCGCGGCGGCAGCGGCTTGCTCCTGCCTCCTCCTCCGCCACTTCGGCGACACGCCAGACGAGGGAGTTGCTCTCCGTCGGCTTTGGGTGGGAGAACTCCGAGCGGCCCCCGTGACGTGGAGGAGAAAGGAGGAGCGCCGCCGATGCGCTCCCGCAGAGGGAGCTCCGGGCACCTTCCCTCCGGGGTCCCAGCTCCGCGCTCCGGACCAAGTTCCGAGGCGCGCGCCGCGGACTCCGCTGCCGCAGAGCCACCCGGGTCTCCGCCGCTGCGCTGAGCGTCATCAAGGGTCGGCTCCCTCCCAAGTTAAACAGACAAGAAATCCGAGGTGTGGAGAGCTAAGCGACTTGCCCGAAGTCGCTCAGAGGGCAGTGACAAAGCGAACTTAACAGCTGCGAAGGCCAGGCTCTGAGAGGCTCCAGCCCTGCAGGAGTCTCCTGCTCTGGTTGGTAAGATGCGGACAGCGTCCCATGCAGCCTGGAGAAATATCGTCTACGAGCAGCGTGGGAAGGTGGAGCTTTCTGCCCAATAAATAGGGTGCAAAGTTGTTTTTCAGTCAGTGCCTACATGTGCAATAGACACCCTAAGGCTTCCTCTTTACCCTGAAGCAGAGGTGGGGGGCGGGCCTTGTGGGCGTGGCATCGGTCCCACTCCTGCTCACCTCGAAAGTGCACGAAAGCAAGCACACACCTGCGTAGCCAACTGGGCAATATGTACGACTCGGCCTTCGTAGCGGGTTCTTGTGAATGGGCCAACTTCGTGAAGGGATGCTCTGCCCTATGCTCCTAATAATACCCGCAACTGCTGACGTCCCCCACGGCGCTTCCTTTCTTTCCCAGCCAGAGGCTCCTAGGGCCTGCCTTATGGGGCAGGGAGGGCCCAGGAAAGTCAATCCCAGCTAGTTTCTTCCTTCCTCTTGTCAGTCTTTATTGACTGAGGACCTACTGTATGCCTGGCGGGTAGGTGCAGAGCCAGATAGGACCGGATAAACCGGTTAGGATCCCATA